AAAAAAAAAAAAAAATCAGAACTGGGTTTTTTTTCTGAGTGGAGCAACTCAAAAAATTAAAAACATCCTGTTTTCTTTTTTTTAAAAAACGATCAATTACAACTGCGTTCTTTAAAAAAAATTTCTATAGCATTTTAACAGATCACTCGAGGCGTTCAGGGTAATTTGAACAGTAAATCAAGTACGGATGTAGACGAGGCTTACGTCAGAGGAGCTAAGATCCAATCTTGTTGCAGCGCTGTCACGGCATTTTTGAAATTCTCTGTGAAGGTCCTAAAAATAACAACTCCACAAAAATTGAAAAGATACATCTCGTGATTAAACTGTACTTTCTATAATTGAAACCTATAATAAATGCTATACCAATACTTTGGAAGGTTAAGGAGTGATAATTTCCCTAACAAGAAAAAAGTGCTTATTCTGTCGCAAGCCATTTTATGCACCTATTTCACTTCACAGTATTCCAACAAAACAGCAGTGATCACTGCTTTGAAATTTGAAGAATGGAACTGTACCAGCTTGCGTGCAATAAAATCAATGATCATCGCTAAGTTAGTGCAACAGAATATGGCATGAAACAAGAAATGGAAACTGATTGCCTCTATGCCGAGAGAGTCCAAAACAATGTTTTTTTTTCAGCTCTCTACAACAGCAACTACTGGTTTTCTACTAGCAATGGATTAAAACAATAACCCTTTTCGGTTTTGTATCATAGTTTTTTGAAAAGCGTTCATTAAGACTGCTACGGTATTTTCCACGCGCGAAACTGGATATCCGGCCTAGGATCGCACTTGGCGACTTACTGCGCATTGAATTCCGTTGCTTTTCACTTTCTTTAGAAGATGGCCGAAATTCGAAATCACAGCTACCGTCGCCAGGTTGTTGCTCCTGCTGTTGTTGATGATGATGATGATGATGATGTTGGTGATGATGATGCTGTTGCTGCTGTTCATGATGCTCCTGCTGATTCTCAAAATGCCCATTTACCTTTGTTACATCTTTTGCAACGTAACTCATCTTTTCTGCCGCCCGAAGGCAAAAATTCAGAGCGTCGGGCAGCCGCGCAGAGTATGAAATTGAATTGAGCTTAGGCCAATGATTAGCCAGCTCTGCGTTACAAATGAGGGCAACTGTAGTACAAAATAAGTTTTAGAAGACGAAGGAGAAATTCGCTGTTGCCACAAATCCGCT